CATGGGAGAAGGGGAGGTGGAGGAAAGGAAGTGGGTGTTAACAAACCCAGGAACAAGGGAACAACAAGTGATCCAAAATCAATGGTGAGGAGGGTATAGGAGGCCTTATGGGTTTGGTCAAGGGCAAGGTAACCAAGAGGAATTACTGAAACCCAAATACAGACTGAGTATGATAGTGGGACAAGAGGAAAGTAAAAGGAAATAGAGGAAAGAATTAGAAGGCAAAGGGCACTTATAGAGGCCTAAATACAGGCATGTACATATGTAAATATATTTATATATGAGTATGGGGAAATAGATCTATGTGCATATACGTATAGGTTTAGTATTAAGGGTGCATATGGACATTGGGCCTCCACTCAAGTACTCCCTCAATGCAAGAACACTTTGTTCTATTAAACTGGCATTCCATGAGGCTCACCTTCTGGACATGATCACTGAAGACAAAGCACGTACATAAGCAAATGTGCCCAGCTATCAAAAGATATAGTGTCTGGGGTCTTAAAGGCTTGAAGATAAACAAGCTGCCATCTAGCTCAGAAGCAACAAAGCCCACATGGAAGCATACCAGCCTGTGTGATCAGGAGGTATTGATAAGATCAGGTATCAGGCATCAAAGAACAAAAAATCTTATCATTGTGAATGAGGAAGAGTGCAGGGTGGGGACTCAAAGCCTATCTGTAGCCAACTGCATATCCCCTAACAGAAGGGAAGAGACAAGCCAGTCAGGGTGCAGTATAGCACCGATGCAACATACAATTTACCTCTAGATCTTTAATGCTTCCTCCCCCTCCCTATCATGATCCCAGTTCTGCTTTATGAATCCAGGTGAACTGGAGGATGTACATTGGTACAGATCAGAGCTGGAAACACAGCTGGGAATCCAGGACAGATAAACCCCTCAGGACCAATAATAAGAGTAGAGATACCAGGAGGGGAAGGGGAAGGTGGGGTAGAGAGGGAGAACTGATCACAATGATCTACATATAACCCCCTCCCTGGGGGATGGACAACAGAAAAGTGGGTGAAGGGAGACATCGGACAGTGTAAGACATGGAAAAAAAGATTTATAAATTATCAAGGGTTCGTGATGGAGGGAGGGTGGAGGAGGGAGGGGGAAAAATGAGGAACTGATACCAAAGGCTCAAGTAGAAAGGCACTGTTTTGAGCATGATGATGGCAACAATTGTACAAATGTGCATGGCACAATGGATGGATGTATGGATTATGATAAGAGTTGTACGAGACCCCAATAAAATAATTTATATATATATAAAAAAGCACATTGGAAAGGCACTTTGAGGCTTTCTACTCTCGTCGAGATTTGTGCTCTGGGAAACCTGCAGGGGCAGCTCCACGCTGCCGCCTGGGGTCATAGGACTCAGCAGCGACTGCCCGGCAGTGAGTGAGCGTGTGCCCTGAGACACTGGTTCAAGCACAACACAGTGCACAAAGGTGGACTGATAAGCTACACATGGCAGAACGGTAACTGGTGATAAACTGGCAGAATGATAGCGAAGTGCATATAGGTGTGGTACTTTTTTCAACTTCTC